GGTTGGGGGGTGCTCCTGTGAGGTGATGCGGTGTGCATGTCGTGGTCGAGGTTTAATTGACCAAAACAGATCTGTGAAAACAAACCGGTGTCAGGCCCTGACATGCAAGGAGGCCGGCGGCTTGTGCGTGTGGGGGGTGGGGTGGGGGCGCTACCTGGGGGTCGTGACCCCTGGCTGTCTGGGTCAGCGGAGAGGTCGCGAAGCCACTTGACCTTTTTCATTGTCTGCCCTCTGGGCTGATTCCGATTCCGGCCCCCACCCCAGGGCGGTGGTGTCTGGAAGCGGGGGCTGTCCCACTGACTCCCCACCCCGGCGGAGCTCCGAGCGACCCTGACGGGTGTTTGATACGGCCCAGCCCGAGTCATTACTTTCTTTCCTCGTCTGACAGTGATGGGGCCAAATTAGCAGGCCTCCCCAGGGCACTCTCCGCTCCCTCTCACCGGATTGACTTTGCATTCATTCCTCACCTCTTAAAGATTCCAGCGTTTTTCCAAGAACTCCTCCAGAGGGTTTAAGGCTCAATGGCTGTGTTAATTGGCACTTTTTTTATTGCCAGTGTTGTGCCCTCCAAACATCAATTACAAGCTCAGGAACTGTGTGGAAAAAAAATAAAAGAATAATAAATTGATTGCATGTCAAACTATTATTTTTTTTTACCTTCTGAGAAACTTTTGGAGAGAAGGACGAGTTCCTGGTTTCACGCGGGTAGAATGTGCGTGCCCTGGGTTTCACTGTGTAACACATACCTCCGCATATCTCCGCTTGCTTTCAGGATTCCTTTCAAAGCGGTTTCTCATACTTCCCTTGTGGACCCACGGTCTCACAGGAAGAATGCATGGAAGTTTCAGACTGCTCTTAACAAAAGAACATCCAGCCGCACTTGGTCTCTTTTTTTTTTTTTTTTTTTTTTTGCCGTGTTCCTGATAGGAAAAAAAAATATGAGAAGAAGTTAGCAGAGAGGTGGCCCTCGCTGGCCAGGCTGTTTGTGTGGGGCCCGGTGGGCCAGGCTGTGTTATCGGTGGAGTCCTGCATGGTGTGTGTGGGGCTGCCGGCACCTAGTTTTCCAGCTGGCTGCGGATAAGTCCCCAGGGGAGGGGAGATGGCCTAACCTCGAGGTTACAGCTGAGGCCGGTGACTAAGCACAGATTCCAGCAGGGAATGAGCCAAAAAGAGCAGGCGCTCTTCACGCACCCCCCCCTTCCCCACCCCCTGCGCACCAACAGCTGCTCCGCTGTCCGGTCTCCCAGAGCTTGTGGAGATACAGTGGGGAGGTGACTGAACTATGGGGGGGACAGTCACGCACCCAGGGTGTGGTGCAGGGTGCTTGCTGACCTCTCTCCTGCTTTTCGGTTTTCTGCGATTGCCCAAGCCTCCCGTTCGTGGCAGCTTTTGTGTGGCTGGGAGAGCCGCGCCCCGCCCTGTCACCACTGAGCTCTCTGCAGCCTTTGCAGATGGTCATCGGCGTGCTCACATGCCGTTTTTCTGTGGGCTTTTTTTTCCTCGTGTAATGTGGAGGGGTTGAGGGCTAGAGAAACTCGCTTTCCCTCAGCCATGCCAGCGGAATTAGGAATTACAACAGACTGAGTGTTCTCCGCACCCTCCCCGATACCCCCTCCATTCGACACGGCGTACCTGGTAGCCTTGCTGTGGAACGACCTCTGATTATGAGCATGGATTTGTACACTTCGGGGAGCATTTGCTGGAGTGTAGAGGAGCGTAATGCAATAGCCTGAATGGGCTTGTGTTACCTCAGTGAAACCCTGTGTAATCGAATTGAGCCCCGAGGCCTACAGCCGTGGCACTGGCTCCCTTCTCCTGCCCCCCCCCCGCTGTGTGCAAACGGAGGTCTCCAGCGCCTGCGTCAGTGACTGTCCTCTGTGACTCCGCTCCAGAGTGGGAGGGGATTCACTGCTTCTCTGCAGCCAATAAACGGCTTGCCCGTGGCCTCCCCGGGACAGCCAAAGCTGTTCCCATGGTTTATTGGGTTTTTTTATACTGCGTTGGTCCTGATTCCGCCATGTTGTGCTTCAACATGACGGTCGCGCGCGGCATCCTCTTGTCCCTTGCCTGACCACCTGCCCTGCTCCTTTCAGGCCGCCACCCTGATGAAGCCATTCCATGATTTACATTACATTACACTGTTGTCATGTAGCAGACGCTCTTATCCAGAGTGACTTACATTAGGCTACGGTTTTGCATGTTGTCCATTTATACAGCTGGATAACTTTGGCTTAAGTACCTTGCCCAAGGGTACAACGGCAGTGCCCCAGCAGGGAATCGAACCACCAACCTTTTGGTCACAAGCCCTGCTCTGTGGTGAAGTGGTAAGGAGCAGTGCTTGTGGCCAAAAGGTTGCTGGTTTGATTCTCTGCTGGGGCACTGCCATTACCCTAAGCTGGCTGCTGTTCAGTAGGTTAACTGTTGAGGAGGAGGCGTGTGCCGCTAACAAGCGCAAATCTGAGCTACCTAGCAGGGCTGGACAAGGCCCTCTGAGTTAAGCCAGTTTTGGGTCCCGTGCCCTCATTGCCAGGCTGCAGGCTGTGCCGTCGTGGCTGCAGGCCACACTGTTCACCAGAACATCTGCGGGCAGCGCTCGCTCCAGCACTGTGCGCACGGTCGAGGTTAGCCGTTCAAACCAAAAGTTGGCTGAGAACTTGCCCCTGCCGTCGGGCTCCGCCACAGCTTCGGCCGGAGGAGAATGTTACTCTGCCCATGAAAGCGTTCGGATGAACTCATCCGTGACCGATGTTCCCTGTCTCCTCTCTGGCCACACAAACGGACCTGCTGCCCTCCTCGGTCCTCCTCACCGTTTCATTTTTTGGGTTTCTCCTATTTTACACGGTGTGGGGACTGAAGCGCGGGTTCATGCTGTGTGAATTACGACTCAGTTCCACGTTTGGAGGCAGAGGAGTTACCTGGAGGTCCCGCGGATTTGCGGTGCGGGGTTGTCTCAGCGCCGCTGCTAGCCTCGGAGGCTTGCGCTGGGTGCGGGTTTTTAAGTGTGCAGTGGGCTGATTAGTATGCTGAGTGCCCGCAGTGACTGCCTCGCGCAAAGTCATAACCTATCGAACACTTCTCCCACTCTAATCCATTTAGAGCAGCTCTCTTCCAGTTCGTTTGCCTATTTTATTGATCCCCCTCTCCCCCGCCCCCTCCTCCCCTCCCCATTGTAGGCTGAATTCCGTGGTGCAGGGTTTCTTGTCTCCACGCACTGCGGCAGGCGAACCGTCGTCTGCCTGTTAACTTTGGACCTCAGAGTTTCTCAGAGCCGCGATGGCAACAGAGTTTGACCCGCATGTCATTAGCAACAGGCTTTGCAGAAAAAGCAAATACCTTAAGGCTTAACCAGGCTGGTAACCTCGCTGGGCCGTTTGTCTCTATATGTCTCCATGGAAACTCTGCATCGGGGCCTGAAGTGGAGGCCACAGACCTCGGAGCGGCTTGCTTTCTTTTTTCTGTCTCTTTTTTATTTTTTTGGCTGTTCTTTTCTCATAATTTATACTTGGGGATGTTTGATTGCAAAGCTGTGACAGTCATTATTATAATTTTATTCGCTCGGCTGTAAGAACTGTTACACGTCTATGCTTTTCTCTAGATTGTGATCTTTAGGAAAGTTTTTGGGAAATCTTTTGAATTTGGCAGTTTTCTGCACACATGTTGCCCAAGAGTGGAGGGGTGTTGAAAAATTGGGGGGGTAGAGTTAAAGGGTACGTTATAGGGAAGCTGTAATGCAAAACTTTAAAAAAAAACAATATGAACAGTTGCACCGTAAAAGCTACACACTGAGAGTCTTCATGGTTTGAGGAGCTAATTTACAGTCAGGGGTGTATTTTACCCCACTGTACTTCCCTGTACCCCCCGTGGGGGTGCTTAGCAGACCCTCCCTCCTCCTTGTGCCTGCCCGGGTGAAATGCTGCCAGTCCTGTGCGCCCCTCCCCCCCCCAGCCCTGGCGGGAGCCCCCGTATCAGACAGCTGGGCTGGTGGAGTGGGGCCGGGGAGGGCCGTGGGGGGGCAGGGGCGGGATTCCGCGGGGGTGGGCGGGGCGGGACCGCCGGGCGTCCGTCATCAGGCTGGCCGCATGAATGCCTGCGGCGCGGGGGCCAAGACAATTGGCATTGTTGCCAGGCGACTGTGACTTCTTTGCACCCCTCCTGTCTTGACCCACCCCCCCCCACATGGAAACGCTTTTCATTCCTGGCAGGGCAGATTCACTGGGCCTGACTGAGTGATGGCCGTCTCTTCTTTTGTTCAGCATACAGTACCGCTCGCCATTGTAAAGGATGGCCTGCAGCCAGCAGACGGGGAAAAAGGGGAGAAGTCAGGACCAGTTTGCTCAAGTTGTGTGTGTGTGTGTGTGTGTGTGTGTGTGTGTGTGTGTGTTTATTTCTCCAGAACAGTCTGTAATGTTCGGATCGTCAGAGGGAAAGGGGGAACAGGGAAAGGGGGGACACACGGCCGTGGTTATGTGCTCTGTGACTCGTTGGAGTCTTCCTCGGAGCGAGTCACTGCCTCAGACAGCTCTGTGCCACGGCGAGACAGTCGAGCGCACGGCCCAGCTCGCCTCTCTCAAAGGCCATTGTCTCTCTCTTTATCCCACTTCCTTTCACACAAGCTTTCCTGGAAAAAAAAAAATGTTGCCGTGTGTTTCCCTGAGTTTGGTGTCTACTGTTACAGGTCAGGATCTGACCTTTACATTACATTGTTGTCATTTAGCAGACACTCTTATCTAGAGTGACTTACATAGGTTATAGTTTTTAAGTTATCCGTTTATATAGGATATTCACTGAGGTAATTCTGGGTTAAGTATCTTGCCTATGTGTACAACAGCAGTGCCCCAGCGAGGAATCAAAGCAGCAACCTTTCAGTTACAAACCCTGCTCCTTATCTCTATGCTTCACTGGCACCCCCAAGACTGGGTGATTGTTGGCTCACAATCCACAAGCAGAAGGGAGTCTGGTTTGATGTATGTCAGTTTTTTCTGCTTCCTAGAAAAAGACTCCATCTCTGGGTGGGCTGGAACCACCGACCTTTCGGTTAGCGGCCGAACACGGTAACCGATTGCGCCCCCAGCCTAATTTAGTACTGAGGTTGTTTATATGGGTGGCATGCCGCGCTGTGATCTCCATTGCCGCTGTGGTGGACACACTGAGAGGAGACGGAGGAGCGGTGGGGTGGCTGTTCTCTCTCTCTCGGGGGGCTTCCCAGGGGCTCTCGGGTGGTTGGTGGTGGGGAAGGGGTACGCTAAAGGCGCTCTGACCTCACGCATTCCTGCCTGGGGCCGGAGTTCGTCCTCCTGCCCTGTAATCAGCGACTAAGAGCCCACTGCTCCCGACACTTTGAAACCCGCCTTCCAAAACCACATGTTTATGTCTTTTATGTTGTTGGTTGCGTGTTAGGGTTTGTTTTTTTTTTGTGTTTCTGCACTTTGTAAAAATATGCCTGGCATGTCAAAACACTTATTTGTCTTTTCAGTTTTTGTCAGTTTTTTTATGGAGAACATCTGCTGGGCTGTCCTCTGTCTTTGTCCTCTCCCGTGTGGCCTCTGGTAGCTTGCATTATTACATTACACTACATTATTGACGTTTAGCAGACGCTCTTATCCAGAGTGACTTACACCGGTTACAGTTTTTTTTTTTTACATGGTACCCATTCATACAGCTGGATATTTACTCAGGCAATTCTGGGTTGTGCCTTGCCCAAGCGTACAGCAGCAGTGCCCCGGTGGGGAATCGAACCGACAACCTTTTGGTTCCGAGTCCTGCTCCCTACACTATGCTACAATGGCACCTTTGCAGAAGCGTCAGGTGTGGGTTTGGAGAATTCATGCTGGGGATGGCCTTAGAAGCAGACAGCACTGTGAGCCGGCCAGTGGAACAGGCAGCTGCACGATATCAGTGAATATGAGGTTGAGAGATGAGAAGTTGCTAGCGTAGCTACCTGTCATACCTTACAGTGTGTAGGTGCAGGTGTCGTGGCAGTTCGAGTTCTGGAGAAGGGTAGCAGCTGTAGACGGACAAGGTCAGATCCTTTCTTTAACAAACACGATTTCACTCTGATCAAAGAGGGCAAGGTGTCATCCCTCCAGAAACGTTTAAGAGGAAAAGACTCCATTCCTGTAAATGGGTATAGCTATACTTTCGTGGAGGTCACATGATCGAACAGTTGTTTCAGGTCTCAAAGTGGAAGAGAAAAGAAAAGAAGCTCACTTGGAGGGACAGAGCTCGGTGCTAAATCACTGCATCAAGCTTTATCGTGATAGAGAGAGTAATCGAGAGAGTTTGTGAGGCTGGCTGGCTGGGGTCTCCTGGTCGCTGGTGAAAGGGTCTTTGGTAAGACGCTCCTCTGTGCCTGTCGAAGTGCCCTCCTCTGGGGGCAGGGTGTAGCACACAGTCGGCTTGTGCAGGTGGCCGAGGAGAAGAAAAGCTGCACTGTCTCTGGGCCTCTGCCTACTGCCCCCTGCTCTCTGTTCCCTGCTCCACACGGCTGATCTGTCTCTGCGCCCCTGCTCCCTTCTCAGTCTCTTAATTACAGTTACAGCTCCTTGCACTGGATGTAGCCTCCTGCACAGGCCTGCTAAAGAACACATGCAGGTTCTCCATTCACCTGTGCTGCAGCTACAAAAAGCATACGTATGTGTGTGCCTCATCTGTATATGTATGGCTATACTGCATGTGTGTGCATGCATGTGTGTGTATGTATATATACTGTGTGTGTGGTGTGTATGTGTATGGTTATACTGCATGTGTGTGCATGTGTGCGTGTGTATGTATATATACTGTGTGTGATATGTATGTGTATGTGTATATAATGTACTTCCTGCCACTTGCACGCAGCTGCCTTGAAGGTAGTGTTGTTTGGTATGAAAGGCCTCAGATATGAGAGCTTGAGTGTTCTTCCTGGGCTGGACTGTGTGCTGTTCCTCCATTGGAGGTGCCCTCCCACTGAAGCCAAGGAGGAACCTGCTGCCCCTCTGTGTTTTTGGAGGCCTCCCGTCGTATTTTCCAGTTGTTTTGGGGGGGGGGACAGGGAGGAGGGGTGTAGGAAACCTATCATTTCTAAGGCCCCTGGAATAAAAGTGAATCTGAAAGTACTTCATTTCGGTACCTGCCCTCACCCAAAAAATGGGTGAATAACGAAGAGGTGATTAGAGGCAGCGCCTCTGTAACCGGGCCGCTAATGAAACCCACGCATATTGGAAACGCTCGGGCCTCGTTACGGCCCGTTTTGCGCTGAAAGGATATACGCTCTGGCGCCGGATAACTTGCATTCTTTTCAAATTGCCCTGTACTTTTTTCTTTCTCTCTTTTTTTTTTTTTTTTTTGCCCGCACCGCACATTTTGTCCTGGCTCTGAGCGCGGCACCAGGCCCCACGCCGCATGCACCCGGCACACGCCCACGCCGCGGTCCCCGGCGTTTAAATAAAAACGGACCGCGCCGCCTCCGCCTCCGCAGCGGCCCGCATCAGTCAGGAGCCGTGTTTATTTTGAACGGGGGAACGCGTTTCCCGGGCCTGCCTGCCCGGGTCTGTAATTAGGGCTGCTACATGTGTTCTAGGGCTCACAGACACATTTACCCTTGATGCATTTTCATTAGATCACGGCTCCGCAGCTGCAGGTGCAGCGAAACTTTCTCTCGGCGCGGTGCAAATGCCTGTTCTGATGCTCTGCAGGGGCCCGGTACACACTGACGGAAAAGTGCATCATTTCTTTTTCTCGTGCCGTATTTGCAGGTGTCCAGCTAGAGGTGTTAGCCTGTGGCAGCAGGAAAGGAAATGTTTTGATGTTTTGCCACGTTGTCGTTATACTCAGTTTGAAATGCGGGTATGAAATGGATATCCTGTAAACAGAACTGATCTTGAAAAGCAAAATAAGTTGTTTAAAGGAATTGCGTAAGTCAGAGTTCTACTTCCAAAAGCTACCAAACTGGTTGACTTTGACTTTTATGGAGTATGTTGTCTTAAGGTTTGAACTGTAATATTGTGTGTATGTGTGTGTGTGTGTGTGTGTGTGTGTGTGTGTGTGTGCGTGTGTGTGTGTGTATGTGCATGTGTATGTATGTGTGTGCGCATGTGTGTGTATGTGCGTGTGTGAGTGTGTGTGTATGCATGTGTATGTGTATATGTGTGTGTGTGTGGTTGCTGTAGGACAGGTGTTGCAGTGAGTTAGGCAGCTTTGTGCTGGGGTTGGCTGCGTGTTTGGGAGGGGGGACGGAGGACTTTAAGGCCGTGTCCCACTTCAGGCCCGTCTGAGTGCAGGAGAGACTGTAATCAGAGCCTTTCTGGCTGCTCCCATGGCCATGCATTCCTCTGCCTTAAACATCGATTGTCTCCCAGGCCCACTCTCACTGCATGATAATGAATCTGTGCCCTGCCCCGCCCCGTGCTCGTCCCTGCAGTCTCTCTCTGTCTCTCCCTCTCTCTCACTCCCCAACTCTCTCTGTCTGCCTCTTTCTCCCCCGGTCGGTCTTTCTCACTCTCTCTCACTTTTTCTCTCTTTCCCCCCTTCTCTGTTTCTTTTCCTCTTTGTATTTCCCTTTCCCTCTCTCCCTCTCCCCACTCACTCTTTCTCACTTTCCTGCTCTCTGTTTCTCCCTCTCTCTGTATTTCTCTCTGCCCCTCTCTCACTGTCTCACCCCCCCATATTTCTCTCTGAATCTCTCTCACTCTATTTCTCACTCTCTTCTCCCCCTCTTTGCTTTTCCCTTCTGTCTGCCTCTTTCATTCGTTCTCTCTGTATTTCTCTCTGCCTCTCTCACTTTCTCTCTGATTCTCTCTTTCTCAGGGTGTTGTAGGCATGCGTCTCCTCACTGCTGACGCGGGGAAAATGCTCTCATGAGTCTGCGAACTCTACCGCTCACTGCAGCAGAGACACAGTAGAACTGCAAGTTGTGTCACGGACAAAAAAATCAAACAAACTTCTTAAACACAAAACGAGAAAAAGCCATGTTCTTGGTTTCAGGTTGAAAGTTGATGGGGGATATTAAACTACAAAGGGACGAGCTGCGCTGAAAGCAACAGGGCTTTTCTTTGTGATAACTGGGTTGGAAAATAGCAGGCTTGTATGGGGATCCCAGTTACATTACAGTTGTGTTTGCCAGTTCTTGTTCCAGTTTTTGTTCTTTTGTCAGCCAACAGCAGATACGTAAAATCTGAAAATCTTCAAAAAGTAAACACTTGACAAGATGCTGTAAATGCAGTTTGAAAAATGGATTTGAATGGAAGCTATGTTTTAACATGGGTACATGAGTCCGTGGCACACAGGGAACGGGGTGATTAGTGGTCTCTTGCCTCACTCAGCCGTGCCCTCTAATTCCTGCCTCGCTTAACTGTCAGAAGCTTTGTCAGGTTAAAGGTGATGCTGACTTTTATCTTTGGGAAAGTACCTGTAATCAGTGCACACCAAACCCTTCCACGGTTCCGCCAGCCGAGATCATGCGCCATGTGCTATGTGTGTGTGACTGTGTGACTGTGTGTGTGTGTGTGTGTGTGCGTCTGTTTGCACAGCGTGTACAGATAACTTTTCCACAAAGTAATACTATTCCTGAACCCTCTATGACAGATCAGAAAGTTAATTTTCCCAGATAAAGATGTTCTTGTCAGGTAAAGCAGGGTAAAGGAGTTGACACTGTCAGTGTGTGTGTTTGGGAGAGGGAAGGGGGGGAAGGTGATCCATCTCCTTGTCTTCCTGCCTTGCAGATAGTGGAAAGCATTTCTCTAGATTGGGATCAGGCCCGGGCGGAAGAGTCAGGGAGATTAGCCTTTATCAGGCTAAACCACTGCCGCATATTAATACATTTAGCCCTAATTGGGAGGGAGAGATGCAGCCTGAAAACGCTGACTGGAACAGGCCAGGGCTGAGGGTAAGCGGGGCCTTATCGACGGAGTAACCTCAGATGCCTGCCGATGAGGGTGTAATTACTTGCAGCGGCAGTGGGCCGGAGTGCGGCCCCGCGGTGCCGGCAGGCGCTGGTGAGCGCTTCCTGCTTCGTACTGTCTTCCTGCGAATGTTGCGGGAGCAGCAGCAGGGGCGGCAGTGTAGTGTAGTGGTTAAGGAGCAGGACTTGTAACTGAAAG